TGGGTCCCAGTGCTCTCCTGCCCCAGCTTTTCCCTGTGTCCCTTCTGGAATGCACAGGTTTCTCCCTCAAGCCATCACCACTGGAGGCCTAAGGGGAGGGTTCCAGGACAGCCACTAAGATGTTACCACCCACCTGAAGGTTCTTTTGCTCAATGAACACAGAAATCATGAATAGGCAGTGTGGCTCTTTTAGTGTTCCCAGCTCTGAGCTTTAAATGCATTGGCTATCAGCTCTTAGTATTAGGGGCTCTCCTTGCCACTTGGAGCCAGCAGCTACCAGCAGGCCTCAGAAACTTTTCTGGGTGCCAGAGATGGTGGCTTTCAGCTGTTCTTTATTATTCTCAGTTTCCTGAGTGCTTGTTATCTTCATTGTTACCAGCTCATTTTCTGTACCAGCAGCCTTTAGTCTCAGCAGATTTTAGGTTGCCCACCCAGTCAGCCTGCTCTCCTTGAGGTTTAAATTGTAAAGGGACAAAAAGGATGCCATTCAAGAAAGCTGGTATGTGGAGTTTTTGCTTCCACTGGAAAAAAATACAAGGTGGGCTAAAGGTGTGAACAGTGTCAGACTTTCCATTTGGTCAAATGTAGGGAAAAGGGCCACCATGGGCCTGTGTGAGAAGGGTAGCAGAAAGGTTTTGTCTCTGGAAGAGGGCCCAGGGCAGAATCTGCCTAGGATACATAGTGGTGTCCAAAGCCCGTTGTAGCCAAAACAATGTCTCCCAGAGTAGTGGTGGGTGGGTGGGAATATAACCAGGCTAGCTCCAAGGTACTTGGTGCTTCCACCACTGCGGTGGAAGAAATACAGCGAACAGTATCTCCTAGAAAAGCACTGGAACCTTCTCTCCAGTCTCATCATCAGTAATGGTTGTAAATTAGCTAGTGCTGGGCAAGTGGCAGTCTATGGAGGGACCACAGCCTAGGCCAAGTCTACTCAGTTGCTATTCCTAGGGCCTGCTGGACTCATATGCTCCTCAGTGTGTCAAGGTTTTCTGAATATTATAGAAAGCTAAGTTAGATAGATATTAATATACAATCAGAGAGGGATTGAGCCCTCTAGGAAGTCAGCACAAAAATTAGAGACATAAGAAATCTGGCTGAAGGGCTGGGGATTTAGCTCAGTGGCACAGTGCCTGCTTGACAAGTGCAAGGTCATGAGTTTGATTCCTGGTACTGGAAAAAAAAAAAACCTGAAAAAAACAAAAACAAAAACAAAACAGAAAGAAATCTGGCTGAAGACAGACCTCAAGATGGAGATGCAATAGCCAGGCAAGCAAGACAGACAGCAACTTGAGATTATACTGTAATTAGCACCAACTTGTCCAGTGGGCCCAGATAGGAGTCAGGTACATAAGTGGGTGACCAGAACATCCAGGCCCATAGTCCCCTCCATTCCCCAAAATTCCTTTGTTCTTTCCATATAGCCTTACTAGGTGGTTTGTTTCTCTAGCAAGGATCACTATTAACTAAGCAGCTATACTTATAATCCTATAGATTGATTGCAGTTTCACCCACATAGTGCCCACATTATAGCTTTGCTGTATAAATTACCCCTGATAAATGGTGCCACCTGTTTGACAACCATTCTGGAAATCCAGGAGCTATTCTTCTTCTCCAATAGAAGAAGCTATTCTCTTCTCCAATACAACTTTTCTAACTTCCTCCTTTGGTTCACAACTTAATTCCTTAATGTTGTAAAACCATGAACTTGGCAATTTGACATCTAACAGATTGGGAATGTCATTTTCCTATATCATGAGCATCTTCTGAATGAGGAGCATGAATCTGGTTATTGTATAAAAGCCCCAGCTTTGTGTAGTGTCAGTATCATAGCCAATGAGGTTTATCCGAGGTGCGATTATTGCTAATTGTATGAAAGCCCCAAATTAAGGAAAACAAAACCAACAAAACACCAACATCAACCCTTGCAGAATAGGGGTCAGCAGCTTGGATGAGGGGGGAGCACTTTCATAATAAGAAATGCAAGATCACAGGGGCTCTGGATGGTTCCAAACAGCATATCATGGGAAAGGGAATCCACAACTCCATTAAAAAGCAAATAAAGACAGTGAGAATATACATATAGGAAAACTTTAGCCACTTATTTTAATATTTATTTTTATGTATGTGTTAGGGGTATGTGATAGAAATCTGTCCAAAAAAACATTTTTGATAAGTTTAAATTGGAAGTAGAAGTGAAAAGAAACTATTATAGTTTTCTTTGGCAGCATTTTTTTTCTTTCTTAGCGATGCATTAAAAAGGGTGCTTAGAAAAGAGGCTTAGATTTAATGAAAAATAGTAATCAGCCCCAGTTATATAAAAGCATGAACTCTTGGTTTAACAAAATCCAAGAAGTCTACTATACAAATGGATTGCTTTTACTGCCTGGAGCTCTCTGGGAAAACTGTAAACCCAAAACTCAACATTAATCTAAAGCTACTTAGTTTGTTTGTTTGTTTGTTTGTTTTTGGAGTTAAATTATTTGGAAGATGTTTTGCAAGGACTCAGATCTAAGAGAGCTGATTGTGGTACTGATTCTAAATCATCATCCCAAATAATGTTAATGTTAAAAGTTAACGATGTAGAATTATAATGGAATCATCAGGCAGGAGGATGCTGGGCAGATGAAAACTTTGTTGTTTTTTTGTTTGCTAAGTGTTTCGTCCTCTCTCCTCTCTTCTCTCCACAATGAGAAGCAGTCACCTGCCTTCAGAAGCTTTTTGTTTTAAATTTGGAAACACTTGCTTAAGGGAACATGTTAACACTTGACTCTAAAGTGAAATTTTAAAAAAATTTTATTGGCAAGCTTTGTGGTGACAATTTGATTTCTCAGTGTTTCTTTTGTGGTCTTATAATCTGCTTCTCAATGTGGCATGTTCTGTGAGCTACAGACCCTGGAAATCTAGAAAGCACAAAGGCCCTATAATTTCCTCTGGATTAGGGTCATGTAGATTAAATTATGGACAAGGGAAGATTATGCCTATCTTTGAAGCTTTTATTGCTTTGTTCTATGCTTCCTACAGATAGCAAAGCAACTCATTGTTTCAAAACCAGAGATTCACCTTAGCTGCTGACTTTTTCACATTCTAACTGAAAAAATGTAATTCTTTCACATAGATTCTACATCTATGATCCCACTCAATTTTTTCACTTCATTTTTTAATAGATAACATGAGATATTGCAGGAGTTGTACACAATTCTTAGTTACATCATTTGAGTGTGAGCTGGGAAATCTTATTTTGCTTCTTCCATCTTTAACCCATGATTCACTATGACCATTTCTAATGAAGTCTGACTACTTGTACCCACATCAAAATCTTCAGGCTCTTCAGCACATTACACAGAGATGCTAGAAACCCACGCTTTTCTGTGGCCTCATTCTTCCAAGGGAGTTGGAATGCTTTGCAAGCACTTCTTTGTTTATCAGCCAATCCATATAGCAAGAGTGTTTTGTGAATCTCTGCCTTTTTATATATTTTCTGCTAATGGCCACCAGAAGTTTATGACTATGCAGAGCCCCTAGTTTGGAGGAGGAAGAGCATGGGCCAGGGAAGGGAGGATATGCATGCTGGTTCTGCTCCAGTAGAACTGACTCTCGTGCTGGCAGAATGTTCCAACATCTTTGTTCTTTATGAACATTAGAAATAGCAACACATCTTTTCGTTTTGTGTGATGATCATTTAGCTATACCCAGTAGGATTTGTAAGCACTTCACATCTCCGTGGATTTATTTTGTTTCAGAGTGAAAGTGACTTTATGACCCCATTACCATTATTGTACTATTTATGGAAGGGGATGGAGATAAGAAGACTAGACAGTCTGATGTTGGCGTCACCACCCAAGGTCCCTGCTCAGGAGGAGGGAGCCTCTGTTCCATTGTTATCAAGGCGCTGAAGCCCTAGCGACTGTACCATTTTAATAGGTGAATGTACCCAGTCTGTGTGTAAGGAGATGTTGGAGTACACATGATGGAATGATCAATACGTAGGAAGTCGTCGATATTTTAAGTACAGAAGGTGTCAAACGCCAAAGACGGTGAGGAACAACTAGCTAACTCTAGTGCTGCCGCGCTCAAATTACAGGATCTTGAAGGAGTCTGTGTTGTCATCTGCCCCAGGAAAGGCCTGGCGAGGCGAGGCCGCTGCTCCCTGGACGAGTCCCGGAACCCTGCAGCCGGAGGTTCACAGGGGCGCGGTGCAGCCTCGGCCCCGCCGCGCCTGGGGTGTCGGTGCCGCTTGGTGTTCAGCACCGCAGGGAGGACAGCTCCCAGAGGGTCGGAACCACGGGGAGGACAGCTCCCGGAGGGAGGGATCGGAGCCTGCTGTAGGACAGATCCTGGCGCAGGGTTTGGAACCGCCACGGGAACAGCTCCTGGAGAGGTTTTTGGAACTGCTGAGCAGACAGGGCGCGGGGCTCGGGGCGCGGCTGCGCAGGGCCGGGGCGGGGCG